CGGGCGGGCTGGGAGAGCCCGGCCCTTGACGAGGCAGCGGGCCAGGGCCAGAAACCGCTGGAGTAGAAGGATGTCAACTGATGTGGAAACAACGCGCGCGGTGCGGTCACCGCCTTCCTGCCGCAGCCGTGCGCCCGGGCGCAGGGGCTCGCTTGTGCCCTCAGAGCGGGCGGGCAGGCTCGGGGCTTGTGATCAGCTCCTTCGGAGAGGTCCCTCCTCACCGTCGGCCCCTGCTGCCGTCCGCTCTGGCTTCGCCGGGGTGGAAGACGCCAGCTGCCCGTTGGCGCGGGTCCCCGGGCCTGCCTGGCCGCCTCGCCAGAGGAGCCAGGCCGATGCCCCGAGCAGCAGGATGCGCGGGGCCGCCCAGGACTCAGGCCCTGCTCCGGGACCCGTCTTCTCGAGGGCTGCCGAGTGCAGCGCAGGGCAGGGTGGGGGTGCTCAGGTTTCCCCAGCAGTGCTGCGAGCAAGCTGGGAAGTTTAAGCCGTCCCCACATCCCAGAAGCTGCCCCCACCACGCGCACTGTCGGCTCCACGTCCGAGCCCCTCGGACGGGGGCCGCAGGGTGGAGAGAGGAGCCTCCGTCCCAGGCTGGGGCTGGGAGGTGGGTGCCGCCGCGGGCCTGGCCGCGATGGTCCCCCTGCTTCCCTGCAGACGTGGCCGTGGTGGAGGTGAGCAGCTCCCAATGCCAGCCCTCGCTCTTCTACCACCTGGGCGTGCGCGAGAGCTTCAGCATGACCAACAACATCCTGCTGTGCTGCCACACCGACCTGCCCGACCTGCAGGCCCTCCGGGTGAGTGGGGCGAGGGGGCATCTCGGGGTGGGGGGCCCTGGGGCCGGCAAATCTCAGCGGGTGGGATAGCAGACTGGGAGCTGCGGGAGCAGGTGGGGCCTGCCTTCTGGTCCCTGCTAAGCTGCTGTCTTCCTGCCTTTGCTGGGCCAGGACTCGTCCTCACCCCGTGCCTCAGTTTCCCCACCAGAGGCGGCACCCATTTGCCTGCCTGACAAGGTGAGATCTCTCGCTGGGAAGCACCGTGCCAAAGCTCAGACCCGCAAGCTTGGAGCCTAAGCCACTGGCAGGGCCTGGGCCATCTCCGGGCACGGGCAGGGGTCTTGGCAGACAGGCAGGAGTCCCATGTAATATCCTGTCTCCTGTGACAAGGAAGCACCTTGTGTCTGGGGCGCTTCTCACCAGTGTGATGGTGGCAGTGACAGGGCCCCGTGGTGCTGGGCACCCTAGGATGAGCGGTGCATGGAAGTCCACACCCCAACAAGCCTGCGATTGAAATAACGGGGTGGGGGAGGAATCGGCTCTCCTTTGTGCAAGGAAACTGAGGCATGGAGAGGCTTGGGGGCTCACCCACAGGCATGCAGGGAGCTGGGGGCCCTGGTGCAAACAGCTGAGCTGGGTGGAGGCTTTCCACACGTGCTGCAAGTGCAGCTCAGACCTCCCCGCGGCGTGCCCCCCACCCGGGGACCCCCAGCTAATGCAGCCTTAACAGTCTGGCTTGTCCCCCTCCCGCAGTAATGACCCCACAGCCATTTAACACTCTGCCAGCCCCAGCTTGGCACCGAGCCTGCCCAGGGCCTGACGGCCTGCACAGAGGTTCTCCCTGATCGCCGTGGCTCGCTTTGTTGGGGAAGGGACATGAGTGGTCCCGCGTGGCTCCCTGCGGTGGGCGTGTTTCTCCCTGGTGCCTGGGCACGGCGTGGAGGAGTGGGTGCTGAGGCGGGCTGGTTGTCATTGGCCACGATGCCCCGTGCAGGTCCATGATCAGCTCAGTGCGCCGCTCTGTCTCCGCAGGAGGACGTCTGCCAGAAGACCTCCGTGAGTCTCCTGCGCTGATCCGGACCTGCCTCTTCCCCTTGATTCATTTCCAGCCCCTCCTGGCCTGGCTCACCTGGGGTGATTCCCCTCCTGGCATCTGCCAGCAGCTGGGCTGAAGCTGGCACGCACGTACACACATGCATGCAGGCATACATTTGAACACATGCACGCCCATGTGCACACATGCACGCACATTTACACGTATGTATGCATATACACGTATGCACACACACGGCTGTGCAGGAAGTGTCCCAGCCTCCGTCTGCTCTGTCCCTTGCCCACACGCTGCCACATCCCCATGCTGGCAGCTACACAGTCTGCTCCCCGCTAGCTGCCCACTGCAGTCCTGTCCACTGTCCCCCACCCGGGGGCTGCATGGAGGGGAGGGGTCAAGCCACCCCTGGCTGTCTTGCTTTTGATACAAAAGGGGATGTTGACTCTGGACCCTAACGATGGCCCTGTTCCATGAGAGGTGGTTAAAGCTCTCTGTGCTGCAGAAGTTGCATGAACAGAGCTCCTGCTTCTCCAGAGCTGGGCAGAGATCCAGCAGTGGGTGTGTGGGTGAGCAGGAGGGGGGAGCCCACGCTGCTCTGCTCTGTGGACAAACAGGTTCTTTGCCCTTGGGGATGTCAAGACATGAAGCAAAGGCTGGGGGAGGAGGGGCTGGGGAATCGGCCTGACCACTGCCTCGCTCCCTCCACCAGGACTGCTGCAGCAGCTACACGCTCATCCCCTATGTGGTGACCGCCCAGAACAAGGTCCTGTGTTGCGACGCCAGCGCCATGAAGTGCCTGACCGAGCTCTTCCAGCCCAGCTTCGACATGGAGGCCTTTTTCACCCCGCTGTCGACACGCTTGGCCAAGCTGCTAGAGGCCACCCCCACCAGCTCCTGGTACAGCTGTGCCCGCCGGGCACGGCCCCTCCGCCAGCCCCGGGCGGGCCATCAGGGAGGTAGCACAGGTGGGGGGCTCCCAAGACAAGTCCCAGGCTTGTGCTGGCACTGCTAGAGCTCTGCCCCCAGCACAGGACCTGGCAGTGCTTTGTCCCCGTCTCCTGATCAAGGCCCTGAGCAGCTGAGCTGACACCCTCCCCCCTGCACAGGCCTCGGTCTTTGCAGCTGGCTCTTATCCCGTTTCCAGGGGTGGGGAGAGGCAAGGAGGAAGGCAAAGTGCCGAGCAGGCTTCAGCAGGGCAGACCGCAGCTTCCTGCCCGCTACAGAGGGGGTAGAAACAATGGGCCCAGCCCTGGCCACTCCCTGCTGGGGGAGAGGGAAGGCAGGGGGGGCTCCTGCAGGAAAGGCCTAGGGCTGGGGGGCTCTGACCCCACATCACTGTCAGACCAGACCAGGGTCTTCTCCATGCAAGCCCAGCTCTGCCATGGGTCTGTTGTCACCCCCCTGGGCCCTCTGTCTGAACCCCTGGGGTCCGGGCTTGCACCCTTTGGATGCTTGGCCCTGCCTGTCAGTATGGGAGTGGAGGGGGTGGGGGATATCCCTCATGCCCTGTGATGGGGGCTTGTCCCTGAGGTCCCCCAGTGCCTCGGTCACAGGAAGCAGTCTCCCCTCCGGCTCAGGGGTGCTCCTCTCCTTGCTCCGCAGCGAGTACTTCCGGGAGACCCTCCGCCGGGACATCCGCCATGCCCGGGAGCAGTACCGGGGCGAGCAGCTGAGCCAGGAGCTGGCCCGTATCCAGCAGCGCCTGGACAGCGTCGAGTTCCTCAGCCTCGACATCATCGTGAACCTCCTCCTGTCCTACCGCGACGTCCAGGTGCCGCTGGGTCGGGGGTCCCGCGTGCGTCCCCTAGAAGGGGGAGCCCGGGTGCAGCTGCCTCGGGCCCCTCCCTGGAGGAGCTGGGATCTGCCTGGCTGTGATCCTGGATGGAGCTGTCTGTAGGGGCATCGCCCTGACAGAGCGGACCCAGCGTGCCTAGGGGGCATGGAGCTAGCTGCAGGGCAGGGGCTAAACCAGCAGCAGACCACTCTGGCTGGTGTGGCTGCCCTCCTAGCTGGTGGGGGGGAAGGGTCTCTGGAGCTGCCCACCAGCTCCCTGTGACTCCCCCACCTGCCCCCACAGGACTACAACGCCATCATCTCGCTGGTGGACACTCTCCGTGCCCTGCCTACCTGCGACGTGGCCGAGCAGCACAACATCCGCTTCCATTACGCCTTTGCCCTCAACAGGTGAGCAGCTCCTGGGGCCTGGGGCAGGCCCTGCCAGTGCCAAGTGTCCCCTCGCCAGAGCCTGTGGGCACCAGTGGCACTGGCGACTTCTGCCAGGGGGGCTCGGGCAGAGCCAGACGTGCCTGTCTGTGCGTCCTGGGCTGCACGTGGAGGTTTGAAGCCTGGAGCCCTCTCTCCACGGGGCAGACTTGGCCCGAGCTGCAGAAAGGAGTGGGGGCACTTAGCATGGGGTGCCGTATGCGATGCCAGAGGGTGGGATTTGGACACCGCTTCTCCCTGCTCCCTCCTCTGGGACCCATTGCCTGGAGGTGCCTGGGGCATCCTCGGCTCACCTTGCACCCCCCATGCAGACGAAACCAGCCTGGGGACCGGGAGAAGGCGCTGACTGTGCTGCTGCCGGTGGTGGAGCAGCGGGAAGGCGTGGCGCCCGACCTGTACTGCATGTGTGGCCGCGTCTACAAGGACATGTTCATCAGCTCCAACTTCACGGACACCACCAAGAGGGACCAGGCCTTGTACTGGTGAGATCTGGGGGCGGGTGCTGGGCACCAGTGCACAAAGACTGAGGGCTCCAATGCAAGCCCCTGCTGAGTTGCACAGGGCTCAGGCTCTCTGGGCACCAAACCCCAGGGGGCTGATAATCTTGCAGTTTCGTATCTGTTGCCCTTCCTTGGGGCACTTGGGGGGAACGCCCGTGGCCCCATGCGCCTGTCACACCACACCCCAGAGCAGCCGCCTGTTGACAACAGGGCCTGGGGGCCTGTCGAGTGACTCGCGGCATCTCCCTTTGGCCACCGCCGCCCCAGGTACAGCAAAGCCTTTGACACAGAACCCAGCCTCCATGCTGGGCTCAACGCCGCTGTCCTCCTCGTGGCTGCTGGGCACGAGTTCGAGACCTCCCTGCAGCTCCGGCAAATAGGTGAGCAGCCCCTTTCCCTCCTGGCCCCATGTCTTGAGGCCCAAAAGAGGGTGGGTAAGATGGGGGGGGGTCTGCCAACTTCTCTGTCTGCAGCAGACGAGCCTCTGGGATGGGGCAAGGGGTCCTTGGGGGGTGCAGGGGAGGAAGTGTGTCCTCTCTGTCCTGGGCTCTCCCAGCGAACCAAGTGGGGGGGACGCTGCATCTGCTAGAGGCAGGGAGTGGTCTCAGCCCCGAGCTGACCTTAGCGTGCAGTATCCCAGGTGCAAAAGACGCCCTGTGGGGCCCTGGCAAGGTTGGGATGGGCTGCGGGGCCGGTGCAGGGCTTCCCATGGGCTGTCCTGGACGTGCGTGCTGCCGTGGGGGCTGGGGAAGAGTGTGTGCCCGTTACAAGCTGCGGGGCAGTGGGGTGGGCAGGGGGTCCCCATGGCCATGTCTCTGCCCTCCCCTCCCCTCCTCCCTGCCAGGCATGAAGCTGAGCTGCCTTCAGGGCCGCAAGGGCAGCCTGGAGAAGATGGAGTATTACTGGGACGTGGGCTTCTATCTGGGCACTGCCATCCTGGCCAACAACCTGCCCAAGGTCACCCAGGCCTCCGAGAAGCTCTACAAGCTCCACGCCCCTGTCTGGTGGGTGGCAGACCTGCCTGAGGGACCCCCGAGCATCCCGACATGGGCAGGGGAGGCTGCGGTCCCGCTCAGGCATCCCTCAAGCAGCCTCTCTCATGGGGGACCAGGCTGGCCCAGAGACCCTGCTCATCCTCTCCCCTCAGGTACCTGGTCTCCGTCATGGAGACCTTCCTGATTTACAAGCACTTCAAGAAGAGCCTGGCAGACACATCCCCCAGGCAGGCCCTGGCGGACTTCTGGCTGGGCTTCCTGCTGGTGTCGTCCCAGCCCTTCGCCCCCACGGACAGCTGCCCGGTGAGGGGCCCACGCATGCGGTTTGCTGGTCTTCTCCGTGGGGTCACCTGCGCCAGGGGTCCTTGCTGGGGGGAGATGAACGAGGCTTCTCTTCCCCCACCCTGCAGCCTGCAGGGTCCCTGCGGGGCAGGGGGCCGGGGCAGGTCCAGTCCATCAGCTGCCCTCTCCATCTCCTCCAGGTGCTGATCCTAGAGCCGGCCCAGGTCCTGCAGCCGGCCGAGCTGATCGTGCGGGAGGACCAGGCTGAATGCTCCCTGATGCTTCGCCACGTCTGCCCCATGGAGAAGGTAAGAGCCCTGCCCCGCCTGGGTCCCCAGGCTCCCCAGCCTGTGCCCCATGCGGTTTTTGTTTCCCCCCAGACAGGGGTTTCCAGCTGGACCTTCCCGGCTTCCTCCATCCGCGGGGTCAGGTGAGGCGTTTACCCCTTCCTTCGCCTCTCGGCAAGGTCTCTCTCGGGCTCAGCTGTGTCCGGTTGACCCCCCAGTGCCCTGGCTGAGCCGGCAGTGACCACAACCTGTCCCTTTGGGGGCACTGGAGGTTCTGGCAGTGCAGGGAGTGGGGTGAGGGCATGTGGCCCCTACCCAGGGGCACCAGCCCAGCTCTTTTGGGGCATCTGGGAAGCCTCACTGTTGGGCACCTCCTCCAGCATCTCCAAGTGGGACAAACGCTGCTTCTTCCTGTACGTGCTGCCCGCGGCCGAGGACTTCCAGCTGTGCTTCCCCACCGAGCACCACTGCCGCTGGTGAGCTGGGTGGGCGTGGGGCAGGGCAGGGCAGGGTGGGGGCTGCGCCTGGGTCGGGGCTGCACCTGGGTGCTCCCCCCAGCCCAGCCCAGCCCCCCGCAGCCTGTCACGGCATCTCCCCCTCCGTGGAGGTCTGGAGGAGGCAAAGCCGCATCCGAGCCACGTCCCATGTGGCGGCAGGTTCTGCGAGCTGGTCGGCTCCATCGTGGCAGCGCAGGCGGGGTCCGGCGAGGAGGCAGGCAGCAGCGCCAGCGAGGTCTTGGAGGTGGGTGCCCACGGCAGCTGGGCAAGCTGCTTTGGTGGGCACTGGGAGCTCTGGGTGCCCACCCAGGCTGCCAGGGCAGGGTCTGGGGTCCACAACCTTGCTCTGGCCCCTGTAGTATGACTACGAGTACACGGAGACGGGCGACCGGGTGGTCCTGGGCAAGGGCACCTATGGCATTGTCTATGCTGGGCGCAACCTCAGCAACCAGGTGCGCATCGCCATCAAGGAGATCCCGGAGCGGGACGGCAGGTAGGGCCAGGCTGAATGGCAGATGGGGGCTGGAGGCTGGGAGCGGGATAGGAGGGAGGTATGAGCAGGCCAGGGGTGCATGATACTCCCTGAGGTCCCTTCCAACCCTGATTTTCTGTGATTTTATGACTCCCCACAAATGCACCGATGCTGTTGCAGAACAGGCCAGCAGCGCCTGGGTTGCGCTAACAGGAGTGTCACTTGCAAGTCGAGGGCCGTGATTCTTGTGCGCTGTTCAGCACTAGTGAGGCCTCCCCTGGAGTCAGAGGATCATAGAAATGAGGGTTGAAGGCAGCTCAGGAGGTCACAACTAGTCCAACCCCCTGCTCCAAGCAGGACCAGCCCCAACTACATCATCCCAGCCAAGGCTTTGTTCAGCTGCGTCTTCAGACCCCCAGGGATGGAGACTCCACCACCTCTGGGTAACCTGTTGCAGTGTTTTACTGCCCTCCTAGTGAGAAAGTTTCACCTTGTATCCAGCCTAAACAGAGTCCTCTGTCCAGTCTTGGACCCCAGACATCAAGGATGTAGACAGATTGGAAAGAGTCCAGCGGAGAGCACCAAAAGTAATCAGAGGCCTGGGGGATGAGAGCGAGGACAGGCTGATGAGGAGCGAGGGTTGCTTAACCTAGAGAGGAGACGTGTAAGCAGGGATTTGGTCACCGTCTTCAAATACCTGAAAGGTGGTGACAGAGAGGACTGAGAGGAGGTTTTCTCAGTGCCCACAGAGGACAGGACTAAGCAATGGCCTCAAGCTGCATCAGGGGAAGCTGGGGACGGTTTAGTCAGGGTTGAGCCTGCCTTGAGCAAGGGTTGGGCTAGATGTGGCCCCTGCCAGCTGCCTCCTATGAGCCGTAGGTGGGTGTGCAGCTGCAGGTGGGGGCCCTGCCACGGTCCAGAGCCCCTCACCGCTAGGGAGGGACAGGCCAGGTGTAACCCCCTCCTGTCCACGGCCTAGATACTCGCAGCCGCTGCACGAGGAGATTTCCCTGCACAAGCGCCTGAGGCATAAGAACATCGTCCAGTACCTGGGCTCCATCAGCCAGGACGGCTTCATCAAGATCTTCATGGAGGAGGTGCCAGGAGGTGAGTGCAGCCGGGACCCCCTTTCTGGGCCAGCGAGGACTGAACCCAGCATCCTCGTGGCTCTTGGGACAGGGTGCGAGGTGATGCACTGGGGCCCAGCTGGCCTCACTTCTCGCACCATCCCGGGGCCTCCGTGGCTGTGCATTGTCTGTCTGTGCCCTGGGGCTGTTCTCCTCCTGCTCCCACTCTGGAGAAGCCCTAGACATTGCAGATGGGTATGGGCCAGGGGGCTTTGCCTTCCTTCTGCCCGGCATCCCTTGAGCGCATTGCCGGTTTACAGAAGCAGGACACTGGCTGCCGTAGTTCCCCTGTGTGACCCGTGGCAGGGTCGGGCACGATGCCTGGTGCTGTGTCAGGGGCGACCAGTAGTTTTACTAAGAGATTAGACAACGGGTTTGTCTGGGATGGTTTGGATGGGGTCGGACTAGATGTGACCTCCAAAGACACCCTCCAGCCCCCCGTCTCTGTGATCCGCAGGGAGCCTCTCATCCTTGCTGCGCTTCAAGTGGGGCCCTCTGAAGGACAACGAGTCCACCATCGTCTACTACACCCGGCAGATCCTGGAGGGGCTGCGCTATCTGCACGACAACCAGATCGTCCACCGCGACATCAAAGTGAGCCAGGGCTGGTGGAGCCTGGGGCCCCACCAGCCCCTCCAGGGATCGGGGCCCTGGGGCCAAGTGGACCCACATGCCCAGCCCTGTTGTGGACCGAGGGAGCTGAAGGGACCATCCCTGGCGCCCTCAGCCAGCAGAGCTGGCTCTGGGAGAGAGTGACCCTGTCCGTTCCGGCAGGGCGACAACGTCCTCATCAACACGTACAGCGGGGTGCTCAAGATCTCCGACTTCGGCACCTGCAAGCGGCTGGCTGGGATCAGCCCCAGCGCCGAGACCTTCACAGGTGAGGTCCTCATCTCATGGTCATCCCTCTTCCTGGGAGGAGGAGAGCGGGGCGGGCAGGACCCTCCTGCCCCTGTGTCGGGACGAGGGAAGGAGCCGGTGCTGCCCACTGCAGCTCCCAGGATCGGGGCTGTCCGGCTCCTCGGGGCCGGCTTCTCTTGGTCACTCTCTGGTGCCCGCCCCCAGGCACCCTGCAGTACATGGCCCCCGAGGTCATCGACCAGGGCCCGCGGGGCTACGGGAAGCCGGCGGACATCTGGTCCCTGGGCTGCACCCTCATCGAGATGGCTACGGGCAAGCCCCCCTTCTATGAGCTGGAGAGCCCACAGGCTGCCATGTTCAAGGTACCCACCGCGGAGTGGGTATCCGGACCGGTCAAGCACAGGGTGGAGAGCGAAGGGGGGGCTGGCCTGGACCCAGCCTGTGCAATGGGGATGCAGAAGAGACTGATGAGCCAGGAGCTTCCCCCTCCACCCCATCTCCTCCTGCCCAGGTGGGGATGTTCAAGATGCACCCCAAGGTGCCGGACTCCATGTCGGAAGAAGCCAAGGCCTTCATCCTTGCCTGCTTCGAGGTGGATCCAGACAGGCGGTCCACAGCTGCAGCCCTGCTGCTGCAGCCGTTCCTGGCACCCTCCAGCCGAAAGAAAGCCAGGAGCCCCGGCGCGCCGGCCGAGGGGGCAGGTGAGCTGTGGGGTGAGCACGGCGGGCAGGGGATGGAGAACCGGGGCAGCAGGGTGACCAGGCCTGTCTTCCGGCAGGCGACTCCCCAATTCTGGTGCGCCGTGGAGAGGCTGCTGGCATCCCCAGGAGCGTCTCCTCATCTTTGCAGGTCCCCAGGGCAGGTGCCAAGGTGGACGGCAGACCCTTGGCTCGCTGCACCAGTGAGATGACCCTGAGACGCGGCTGCCGCGGGTACAACCCCCTTTTGAGGGGGAGGGGTAGCTCCTGGGCTCCCATGAATGTGCCCCTTGGTCCTGGTGTCCTACCCTGCCTTACCCTGCGGGCATGGTCTGTGCAACTCGGTCCCTGCTGCAGAAGGGGTGGGTGCCGGTCCCGCGCCCTGTGCCCCCCTGGCAGGGCCAGCACCGGTGCCAGGGGCTGGCGCGAAGGGAGGGGGTGACCCCTGGCGGCCACGGCCTGCCCCTGCACCTGGCTTTATATAACCAGTTCCCACCTCGCGCAGCCCCTTGGTGGGTGCAGCTCCAGGCGCTTGGAGGGAGCCCGCGGATGGGATGCAATGAAGAGCCTGTGCCTGGAGCTCACAGCCCAGCTGTGCCAGGCTGCCTGCAGCCCCCCATAGATGGTTTTGAGGCTTTCCTTGGTACTGAAGTGCCAGCAAGGAAAGGGCACCCCCCAAGCCTCCGCCATGGTCCTGCCAGGGGTCTGCATCTCCCCTGCATCACCCACCAGGCTGGGAGCCCCCTGGGCTGTAGCTGGGGGAGCTCTGGCTTCAGCAAGGGGTTGGGGGGTGCCTCCTCTAGCTCCTTGCCCCACACCTGCCCCATGCCCAGGCATCGCTGCACCCCCCCCCGCCACTCCCTTGCCTCCCCAGGTCCCCTGAGGAGTCATCCAGCCCCGATTTCAGCATCTCGTCATCCTCCGTGGAGGAAAGCAGTGGCCTCTTCCTGCTGCGGAAGGACAGCGAGCGCAGAGCCACCCTGCACCGCGTCCTCACCGAGGAGCTGCCCAGCCTCGTGGCCACCCTGCAAGAGACCCAGGCACAGGCCTGTACCAGTCCCCGGCCCTGCCACTCCCTGGGCAAACTTGGGCAGGGCTTGGCATCTAGCCTAGGGGGTTTGGGGGCCTCAGTGCTCTTCCGAGCTGTGGCTGAAGCTTGCTTTCCCCTGCAGAGCGCGGAGGGAGCTCGGCTGGAGCCAGACCACATCGCCCAGCTGGTGTCCTGCCTTGGGGGCTTCATCCGCTCCCCCCGCCCCCAGCAGCTGGAGCAAGACCTGCAGGCACTGCAAGGCCAGCTGCAGGCAAGTGGCCGGAGCCTCCGCCATGCCCAGCCGCTGCTTTTTGGCTTCCAGGAGGCGGTGAGTGCCCCAGGCTGGGCTCTGCCCCCACCCACATCGCACCCAGGGGGCAGGGGGTCTTGGAGGGTGGGGTGGGGGGGCAGAGACCACCCCCTGCCCATGCCCCGTCTACCCCCAACTCCTG